CTAACCAGTCAAGTTTGGAAGCTGAGACTTTACGAGGATATTCTACGCCGATGTGCAACTTAAATATTTCAAACTCAGCTTTAAAGCACATCTAGGTTTCGAATGTGCGCAAGTGAATGTTTATTTCGGGCGCTGTTGTTATACAGATAACTCTATAACCAGATTAAACAAGAAGCAGTATTCTTGTGAGAATGTTTGCTTTTAATGTGTGAGCCACAAAGCTTAAGATGAGATTCTGCCTAGGTATGGGCCGTATGTGCAGCCGCATCAAATTCGCAAATTGCAATAACGCAGTCACTTCCTATTAGTACAGGCGATCTTTCCACGGAGTGGATTCATGCAAAAATGCATAATCGCACGCCAGATGCCTTGCTAGCTGGGTTTAAATCAGTTATTCATGCAAATTCATCTGCAACTTCGATGATAACAGCTTATAGTATAAGCGCTTTTCCTGCGTTTAATACATGACGCAGTTTTTTCTGTGGGCAGCAAAGAAAGTTTCATATATTTCAATACAGCGTACCAACTCGCTCAGTAATATTGAAGAGTCTACCTGAAAATTCGATTGTCCTTGCGTTAGTGGGCTGAGTACAACACTATCATGACTCTTGCTGACTAGTTCTCAGTGGCGTCAAAATAAAGCTAGTTAATAGTGATCCGACTAAGATATGCTTCTCGCTAAAGTAGACGGACAAAACGCGGACAGAATTCTTATCCTTGACATGGTGCTAATGAAGCTCACCCATTAAGGCATTCTTTTCAGAATCCGTCTTTTAAGGATTCCTGAGAAGTTGTCCTGTAATTGACGAGAACCCATTTCTAGATTAAATTTTACACAAATTCAGTCTGTCTAATCTCTCTAAAAAACGGCCCTGCTGTTTCAACAACCTTCAAATTTTTTTTTAAAGGTGATCTGATTTGTAATTTTCTCGCTGGACTCCACAAGCAGCTTGATAGCGTCAGACGGGAACGTGGAGGCCTTGATGCTTTTCTGCTTGACCAGGAGGATGCTGCATCGCGTGAAGCCTATCTTACTATCATGTCGCAACCACTGCGACAACCGCTACGATACAAGCGACGTCGTCACTTAGCCGAGAAACCATCGCATCACAGGCATCATCGCAACCATCATCAATCTTCAAAAGCTGCAAATCCTGCTGTACCATCTATTTTCGATTCACAGTTCTTCAGCGATAACTTTTACAAGCATTTCCTAAAAATGTATGCTCAGTGAGGTCCATCGTGTTGATAGATAAGGTGCCCAAACAACAGT